AAAATGAATTTTCGTCCATGTTTGACATGTTGGGATAAAATACGGCCCGAGCTAAAATACTCGGTATTTATGGACTAGTGCCATACAAGGTACCACATGACCATGATATTAAGGTGTATAAGGTATGTTAAAAGTGAGTAGTATTTTATATAAGTGGAGATGATTCTTAATTATGTGGGTATTTGATTAATTATTGGGTAATGGGACATTACCTAGTTAATTAATAATTAGCGATGGATTAATTAAAGTCTTCGGNTCCGTGTAAATAATATAGTTGTGCATATATATGGGCTATTATTGCAAAATGTGTAATTCTAGCATAAAGATAAAAATTATGCATAAAATGATTAAAGCTCAATATAAATATAAATGATAAAAATTAAGCAATAAATTATTTGTGATGCAATTAGTAATTATTTAGCTAGTAAAATGCTAGAATAAATTAATTAAAATCCTTTTAAAATTACAGGAAATTATGGAAAAATACCGGTTGATGCTCATGCACTATATTGAAAGTATATATGCATTTTTTTAAAAATATGAGGGAAAAATTGGGTATCAACAATATGATTATGGTCAAAACATATATTGTAGTAAACCTGAAGTTTAGTAATACAAATGGCTATCATATTGAGACTACGAATGATTGGAAGATTGAAAATCTTCATGCTTCCACAATCAGAAGGGGTAAACTAATATGTATATGAAAAGTTATCCGCCTTATTCTTCAATTTGTATTATATCATGTATCACAGTAAACCAAAAGTTTTATTGTAGCAAAAGTAGCCACAGTAAGTCAGAAGTTTACTACTGCAGAAGTTTAAGTCATAGTAAATCAGAACTTTACTAAGAGATAGCATATGCCATGATAAACTTGAAGTTTTCATTTGTCATTTTTAAATGAGCTATTTGAGAATTCAGATAAGCATATACTGAAGAACTAGAAGATTCTTCAAGAATTCTCTTGTGTTGCTTGTTATCATAATAAATTGATTATACCAGCTAAAGTTGGGACTAAGACCCCTGATTCTGAAATATATAAAAGACGAATGTGGGCTCATTCACCTATCATGTGAACCACTTATAGATGCGTATATAAGATGGTTATTTGTATGTTTATTGTCAACCTGCAGTTTGGCATTTGAAATTGATTTTCTCACTTAAGAGCATAATTTTCAGATTATGGAATCAAGACAGTTCATCTTGATAATGCTGGTTTATATCCAAGCTGGTTTAGCATTGAATACCTCCTGTTAATGGCTAAACCATTGCTTATGAGAATAAAGTTTTATGTGTTGGTCTAAGATTTTCTAAATTGCATACAACAGCACTTGTATGCATCAGACCAACAATATATGATAAGTCTTCCCCTCACAATTGGTTTAGGATCAGAAACCAAATATTTTTACTATCTAATAACTTTTGATGCGTGGTAAATGATTAATTTCTCTACCACAAAGTACAAAGATAGGTTTCCCAAAGAAGATTCGGGATATATGTTAGTTTTTCTAACATTAGGGGGTGGAATAAGCAGTTGAAAAATATGTTATATGAATCGAATTATCATTAGTATTATCCTCAATCAAAAGATAATTCAAGTCAAATGTCAGAAGCATTTGCTGATCCAAAATTAAATATCATATTTCAGCTGCAAATGCTCCTATTAAAATTAAAGTCCTTGAAGGATGGAGTTTACTTTACGCATGAAGCGTGGTAGACCAATCGGTTCCAAAGGTAACAATCCTTGAAAAGGATATGAGCAAATGATCAAAATAATCATAATAAGGAGGAAATAAGCTCTAGAAGAGCCCACGACATAACATTTCATGAAACTCCAGAAGAAGTTCAGGTACCTGAAAATAAAGAAAGTGATAAGATCTCAACAAGTTATGTCGCTTAAAAACTGATATAAAATGATTGTCGACGATATATTTGATACAATATAGTGCACAATATTGTAAAAGATTGTAAGGATCGGACCTGTAGTCCAGACACCTGAAGATGTCATGCCATTTAAATGCAAGTCATAACCTATATGACTCATTTGATTAATTTTTTATAAAAATCCCTAAAGGATTTAAAATGCTTAATGCATATAATTCAAAGTCGTACTCGATCAAATTACAGAGATCTTTGTACGGTTTAAAGCAATCTGGGTGCATGTGGTATTATCGCCTCGGTGAATATTCGCTCAAAGAAGGTTACGTAAGTGATGTTATTTGTCCATGTATTTTATAATGAAAATGTCATCAGAATTTGCTATACTTGTTGTTTATGTTGATGACATAAATCTTGTTGGAACTCCAGAAGAGCTCCAAAAGGGCAATTGAATATCTTAAGAAAGAATTTGAGATGAAAGATCTTGGAAAGACAAAACTTTGTCTTGATCTGTAAATTGAACATTTAGCAAACGGGATCTTTATCCATCAATCTGCCTATACAAAAAGGGTCTTAAAACGCTTTTACATGGACAAAATGCACCCACTGAATACACCAACAGTTGTTCGATCACTTGAAGTGAATAATAATTTGTTCCGACCTCCAAAAGAGGATGAGGAACTCTTTGGTCCCGAAGTACCCTATCTCAGTGCAATTGGTGCACTAATGTATCTTGTTAATGCTACAAGGCCTGACATAGTATTTTCTGTTAATTTACTAGCAAGATATAGTTCTCTCCTACACGGAGACATTGGAACGAGATTAAGCATATATTGAGATATTTAAAGGGAACTCCTGATATGAGTTTGTTTTATGCTAAGAAAGATTGTGCATATCTTGTTGGTTATGCTGATGCAGGTTATTTATCTGATCTCTTAAAGCTCGATCTCAAATCGGGTACGTGTTTACATGTGGAGGCACTATCATATCATAGCGCTCCACGAAGCAATCTATTGTTTCTACTTCTTCAAATCATGCTAAGATAATAGTTATTCATGAAGCAAGTAGGGAATGCGTATGGTTGAGATCAACAATTCATTTTATTCGAGAAAAATGTGGTTTGGAATGTGAGAAAATACCACAATTTTATACGAAGGCAATGCTGCATGCATAGCCCAATTGAAGGGAGTATTTATAAAAGGAGATAGAACGAAGCACATTTCACCAAAATTATTCTACACACACGATCTTCAGAAAAATGGTGACATTGATGTGCAACAAATCCGTTCAAATGACAATCCGGCAGATTTATTTACTAAATCTTTACCAACTTCAACTTTTGAGAAGATGGTATACAAGATTGAAATGCGGAGACTCAAATATTTGAAACAAGGTTTTCATCAGGGGGAGGAAAATACGCGATGAACTCTTTTTTCCTTACTAAGGTTTTTTCCCTCAGGGTTTTCCTTATAAGGTTTTTAATAAGACGCCTAGCAATGCGTATTACTAAATATGTGTACTCTTTTTCCTCCACTAGGATTTTTTCCCACGGGATTTTCCTAGTAAGGTTTTAATGAGGCACATTATCTTTTAATGAACATCCAAGGGGGAGTGTTATATATATATATTACTCCATTGTGAATAAGCTTCCTGGAAAAGCTTATCCATATGGGACTCCGCCGTAGATATGTTTATCTATTGCGTACTCTATTGGAAATAAGCTTCCTGAAGAAGCTTATCATTTCGGTACTCCGTTATGGATAACTATTACCTCCGGTTGAAGATTATTCATATGTGATACACAGTAGCTTTCTTTCTTCTATAAATAGAGAAGATTTTATTTCATTATGTACATGAGTATGAAATTGAATAATACATTAATTTCTCTATACTTGTCCTCGGTTTCTTTACTTTCCAATTTTTATTTTATAACAAAAGGTTACTTGTTAGCAAGGCTCAAATTCAGAGACATCTACAACAAGAGAAACTTTGAGAATTAAACATTAATTTAAGACTTTCAGTTTGACTGTTCCAGGTCTCAAGTTAATTAATTTGCCATATCTGCGGCAGATCATGAGATGTCCATTGAAAAAGAAAAGAACACGGTATAAGTGTCAATAAGATAGATTTCTTCATTTACTCTTGGAATTTGCAAAGTTACAAGTAATTAATCTGCCTGAAAATCTACTTCAGGGGGAAGCTTTAAGTAAAGACAATTAAGGTATGGATGATAGAGAGAGGGCTTTTATTTCCTAGATGTATCAGTGTAGGTATTGCTTTAAGCCCTTCAAAAGCCATTAATTATATTTTATACTTCCTCTGTTTACTTTTACTTATCTATTTTGAACTTTTCACGTCCCTTAAAAAATTATAGTGAAATATATATTTTATAATTTTACCCGTAATAATGATAGCATTTCCAAAAGTCTTAGGAAATAATTTTGGGAGTGAGTAATTAATGATAAAGGTAAGATTGTCTTTCTCTTGATTTAGTATATTCGACAAGTAAAAGTAAAAATGTACTTTTAGTATAATGGACAAGTAAAAGTAAACCAAAACCCACAACCCCAACACCACAACCCCAAAAAAAAGGTTTTGTTTATCCGAATAAAAACACACCTTTTGAAGTAGATATCAAAAGAAAACATATCACTTATAGATAATTACTATCACTTGACCATAGTTGAGAAATATATTTTCATCTAATTTTTTTTTATTAATATAATTTAATGTAAACACCGGAGGTAACTATATGAGCAAGTTCTTATTAGGTCTCATTGTTTATTAGTAAGCAGCCCATGGCATGGATTCCCATGGGATAAGCCTAAACTCCATCTTGAAGAATCCCATTGCAACGTGTGTATTCAGGTTTAATGGAATCAATTCTTCATAATATACATATTTATTAGTAAAGCAAGTGGAATTTAAAAAAAAAAAAAAGAAAGCTAAAAATTAAAGGAGAAAAAGAAAGAAAGAAGTATAAAGAAGAAAAAAATAACATATCATAAATGGGATGGTGGGGTTATCAACCTTTACATTTATTGCTTTAGGTCATTGGTCAAACCCACCTCCTAATTATCTCTTCCCTTCTTTCCTTTACTCCTTACTTGTGCATTCTTTTATGGAAATTTTATTATGTATTTTATAAGCAACCAAATCTTAGGTAACATCCTATCAATCTCTCCTCTCTTTTTCAGTCTCTCTTACAAAAATAGGGAAGAACTTGACAGCCAAAGAGATATTATGTCATAGTTACCAAAAAAAAAAAAATACAAATAAAAAATTCTTCAAATTTTGATATAAGGTAGGAGGTGGTTAGCCTTTGAATTTTCAAATGCTTTATAATCTTTTTCCAAAGGGTACAAGTCCATTCTCTTCAAAATGGACTGATTTTTCCTTTCTTCTTACCCTTTAGAGCTCTTTAAATCTCCCTCTCATCACTCCTCTTTCTTGATCCAAAAATCCCATTCATAATTCAACGTAAGTTGAGAGTAAACCAATAGGAAAATCAGTAGGAAAAAACTAAGAATGGTGGGTTTTTTCTTTCTTTTTCTTTATATATTCATCCCCCCACTTAATTAGTTACACTAACATGGTTTGTGTTGCAGGAAATAGAGAGCTCAAGCAAAGTAACTAGTACTTGGGAAGGCTATGTAGATTGGAGAAATAAACCGGCACTCATCAATCGACATGGTGGCTTGGTTCCTGCATCCTTTGTCTTAGGTAAACCATTTTTAGACCACACTATTCATGGTCTACATCTTCTTCTTTTTTTTAATAACGGTGGTGTCCGTTTGCGACTAAATCAATACATTATAGAGTATCTATTACCAGGGGCTGATTTAGGGGGCGGAACGGGTTCACCCGAATCCCCTTCGCCGAAAAATTATACTGTATGTATAAGGTAAACTTTATTTTTTACCTCTATATATTAAGTTTTGAACCCCCTTAACACAATCCAAAGCGTAGCTTTGTGGTCAAGGGGTTTCATAATCTTCCAAAGGTCATACGTTCAATTCCCACTAGCTAAAAAAAAAAAATTTGAACCCCCTTCGTGGAGATCCTGCCTCCGACTAATATAAGTACGTATAAGTCTGCCCACCAAAATTTAAACACAATAGTATAATTTTCGCTAAATTTGCATAGTATAATTTTTATGACAAAAGGGATTCAATTGAACAACCTTGCACCCCTCTGCCTCTGCCCTTGCTTAGACGGAGGGAAGACATCACACTATTCATGATCTAGATTTTCTTTGATGAACTCTCACTTGGCTTTATAATAAGATATTTTTTTTTCAAGATTTTACTACGTATTGTAGGGTTTATGTTTTTGATGAATTTTGATTTGGGAATTTTTTTTTTTTTTTTTTTTTTTGAGGGTACCAGGGGTGGAGGTGCTGGAGAACTTGGCATATCTAGCAAATGCAAGCAACTTGGTGATGTACTTGTCTGAATACATGCATTTTTCACCATCCAATTCAGCAAATTCAGTGACTAATTTTATGGGCACTTCCTTCTTACTTGCACTTCTTGGCGGCTTCTTATCTGATGCTTTCTTCACAGCTTATCAAATCTATCTGATCAGTGCAGTTATTGAATTTCTGGTAAATCTCCTCCAATCCATTTCTCAATTGTCTGTTTCTCTCTTCTCTCTGTTTATGATTATAGTCAAACCTATCTATAACAGCCTCATTTATTCTGAATATTTTTGGATGTTATAGCGAAATGTTGTTATTGAAAACATATATTATAACATAACATGAAAATTGGGTCCGAAAAAGCTTGACTTTTATAGTAAAGTTTATTATATAAGGATACTGTTATAGAGAGGTCCGGCTACTTTTTGGTCCCCCACTCCCCTTTCTTTTATCGTACCCCAAATCTTGGGGATGTGTTAGGACCGAAAAAAGTCAGGTGTCATACGGAAGCTAGTAAAGCAAACCTTGAACGACGATAAGTCCGATAATAAAGAGAAATATACCAAAAGAGACACAAACATTAACGTGGTTCGATCAATTGACCTACGTCCACGACGGAGATGAGCAATCTACTATAATAAAAGAGAGTATAAAATATCGAGAGAACAACCTCACGAAGAGGCAAACACAAGCGACATACTAACACTTTTCCCATAAAGTTCTCCCCCTAAACAAGACTCTCAAGGCCCCTATGGCTACATTGTGGATGCTACTGAATGAGAAGGACGAATCTTCAATTTATAGAACTCCAAACCTTTTCCTACAAGAAAAGGGACTAGCCAAATATGAAAGAATTATATTTTCCTTCTAGGAAAAGAAAAATCCAATTATGATAAATATGTTTTCCTTTCCTTCATGAAATAGGAAAATCAATTATGGTAAGAATATATGGACAAACACCTAACAATCCTCCCCCTTGGCCTGAATTTTCTGACAAAATAAACTTGATTCACCTTTTTCGCATAGCTTTCAACAGGTCGCATCTCCAAATCTCTGCCACAAAGTTTGTCTCAACATACGTAGCACACCGGTCAAATTTCTCAGATAAAAATCACGATTATCGTCAAATATATTGCGGCTAGAACTTAACCTGCCAAGATGAACCTGTCTTGAACGTCGCTCTGATACCACTGTTAGGACCGAAAAAAGTCAGGTGTCATGCGGAAGCTAGTAAAGCAAACCTTGAACGATGATAAGTCCGACAACAAAGAGAAATATGCCAAAAGAGACACAAACATTTAACGTGGTTCGGTCAATTGACCTACGTCCATGACGGTGATGAGCAATCCACTATAATAAAAGAGAGTACAAAATATCGAGAGAACAACCTCACGAAGAGACAAACACAAGTGACACACTAACACTTGTCCCATAAAGTTCTCCCCCTAAACAAGACTCTCAAGCCCCCTATGGCTACATTGTGGATGCTACTAAATGAGAATGACAGATCTTCAATTTATAGAACTCTAAATCTTTTCCTACAAGAAAAAGGACTAGCCAAATATAGAAGAATTATATTTTTTTTCTAGGAAAAGAAAAACTCAATTATGATAAATATGTTTTCCTTTCCTTCATGAAATAGGAAAACCAATTGTGATAAGAAAATCTGGACAAACACCTAACAGGAAGTTCATCGGTTTAGTACTTTGGTTTGTTTTTTTAATCTAAAATTAGGTTACGTTTTAAATTGAAGGAAATTAAAGAAGAAAAAGTAATACTACTTGCAATAATTGCTAGTGGTTCTCAATCAAAGAAGTTGGAAATGTGATTAAAGGAAGTAACGACGCCACGCTTTTCGATACACCTTTATACCTTTTTCTCTCTTTCCTTTTCTTGCTTTTGTCATTGCTTAATTCGACTTAAATGCTTGACCCGTTGCTCCTTAATACGTTAAGGAAAATCTGAAATTTATAGATATACTAATAATGTTTCTAAATTTATTGCTAATTTCTTCATTTTACATTTTCACGATTACTTCCTCGTTTTATCCCCTTTAAATTTTCACTGTATTACTGCTACTTATCATAGTTAACACTTTACTAGCATGTTTCACCGAACCTCTATAATTTGCTTACTTTAAAAATATTATTTCAGAAGTGCTCATCAAAAAAGTATTTTTGTAAAAAAATAATTTGTTTATGGCTAATTAATTTATAAAGCACTTTTGCACAAATTGTGTTTGGCCGAACTTCTTAAAAAATGCTTTTGAGTGGCGAATGAATGAAGACATGAAAAAATTTACTTAGTTGTTAACATTATTTAATTAGAGAAATAGTTTTAAATATTTATTACGAAAGACTATAATTAATTTTTTTTATTTAAGTAAAATATAAAAATAAAATTAAAAAATATATTATTCTTTCAAGATTATTTAAATATATTAAAATATCATTCAATAGCTTTTTATTATTAGGTTCAATCAAGTAGGTTATTTTGGTATATAAATTTTTTTCTAAGGGTATTTTTATCAAGAGAAATATTTTTAAAAAAACAACTTCTCTTTCAGGAAAGAAATTACTTTTTTCAGCTTCTGAAAAGCAACTTTTGATTTTACTCAAAAATACTTACTTTTTTCCAAAAAACTTGGTCAAACACCTCAAATAAAGATACTTTTGACCTCCATAAGGTTGGCCAAACAAGCTGTAAATCTAATTAGGATGGACAAAAATGTCCAACTTAATCGACCTACTTTAAGATAACTTAAATATAAAATATTCAAATACTTTTTTACATTTTTCAACTATTTCTTTAACTTATCTCTTCGAAATTCTGTATAAGAATACACTCAAACTCCATTATCTCAATTAAACCATAAATTTTTGGGACGGGGAGAGAACATTTATTGTTAATTTATATTCCCTCCGGTCTAAAATAAATGATTTTTTGGATGTTTTCACACAGATTAAGAAATTCATCTTTTAGTATTAATTAGCAATGAAATTGACCATATTACCTTTCCTATCCCACATAAATACTCCTAACACATACTCCAACACTATTTACTCCAAGGACAATGTAGGAAAAAAATAATTAATTCATTCTTGAAATCTGGAAAAATCACTTATTTTGGATCACAAAAAAAAGGCCAAAAAATTACTTATTTTGGACCGGAGAGAGTATAGTTTTCTAGTTTAAATATATCTTTTAGATGGTCTGCCTGAAACAAATTAAATCTGGTCTAATGTTGTTGTCTTTAGGCGGAAACAAACGTAAACATATAGATACACAATGAAAAGACACTTGGAGTAATTAGGAATCATTTTAAACATAGTGATTAGTGGTGATCACTTTTGAATTCCACTAAGCAGCAACTTGCAAAGTACTAAAGCAATTGATTAATCCTTTAACATAAAGTTTTGCAGCATATATATACTAAAGATACATAGGAATTGGTTGCTTTAATTTTCCTCTTTTATCTTCTTCTTTTCTTTTGCAGAATAGTCTCATCCATCATGCTAAAAACTCTTCTTAACAAAGAATTTGAAAGCACTGATGCTGATATAGCTTTTCTGGTCGTTATTAAGAGCCCGTTTGGATATAAGAATTTTTTTCATTATTTTCGAAATCAGTGCATAAAATTTTAAATTTTCATTTGAAGATAAATTTCGCTAGCGTTTGGCTGTAGATCCCAAATTTGTTTTGAAAAATCTGATTTGGGTGAAGTTTGGTTTGAAGATGAAAATGTATTGGACATACGTTTTCAAAACATATTTTTCAATTTTATTTTGGAAAAAAGATGTATATAATTCCCAAGTTTTGGGATTTTGGCCCAAAATCAGCTCAATAGCTGATTTTGGGATTTTGAAATTTGGGATTTGGGATTTGGCCAAACTATGGACAAAATTTATGGCCAAACATGAGTTTGAAAATAAATTCCAAATTTATTTTGGCAAAACTCATGGCCAAACGGGGCCTTCGAAATTTTTTGAAAATTTGAAAAACTCTAAAATTTTAAAATTATTATTCAGATCACTCACAAAACTTCAAAAACAATCCAAAATTATATTCATGTCCAAACACAACTCTAATTTTCAGATACTATTTTTATTTAAAAGAAAAATCACTTTTTTTTTGGAATTTTACAATTCTTATGTCCAAACGCCCACTACTAAGTCTATGAATTTCTATCAGTATAGAAAATCTCTTTAACACGAAAAATAGTCCCCACTTGTTTCTTTGGGATTTGTCGATTTAGCAGCCACACATATAACTTGATATGATTCGATCTTGTGAAACATCTTTTGTGTCACATCGTTAAAGAAAAATCTTGTTTTAGGAAAGTATCTAATTTCTCATATTAGAATCATTTTGAGATACAACTTTTTCCATGGGAAGATCATGAGAATACACAACCCCCC